ACATGTATAGTAAAACTTCTCTATAGTGATACTTTATATAAGAATAAACTCTATATAGTAATAAAAAATTCTAGTCCCAATTTGGGATAATTATAAATAAAAATAAACTCTACATTGTAATAAGTTATAATTTTTCTAAGTCTGACCTTAAGGAAAGCTAACTCTACATAGTGATAATTATCTGTATATTACAAAATAAAATATATTATGTAAAATTAAAGATTTATAATGAAATAAAATATTTATTTAAAATTGTTTGGGATAATGATTTATGTTTGGGATAATGATTTATGTTTTAAAGTTGTTATCACATCTTTTACCTTACGAGTACTTACTAGCTCGTTAGCATGGATACCTTATTGTTGAAGCCAAAATATTTTTAGTTTCTCAAGCGTGTTTAGAGCTTCATGACACAAGACTTTTTGTATTTTCGTACTATTATTCTTAAGATTATTTCATTTATCTTCTTGTCTAATTGCAATAATGATTTCTCCTTTGGTTAAAGTATACACGATTTGTTGCTCATTTGGATAATCGAAGAAGACATTAATATCTATTCGATTAGTGTAGTGAATTTGTCGAATCTGATCACTCAATTCTATAATGACTCTTTTATTCTCCTCATCCCCTTTATTTGTAACTTATAATTCATGACATTAGTAGTTTTTATTTTGCAACGCTTAAAACCATTGACAATTGTTAGTAGTTTCACATCAATTGACATGCATCAACTATATTTACAGTTCCATCAATAACACTCACTTTTGCTGGTTCTAAGAAACAATCTTTTATCAATTTCAAAAGTAGGCAATTGAAATGTATTGAAATTCTAATATTACTAAAATATGAATTGAAATCCTAATACTGTACTACTAAAACATGAATTATAAAATAAGAAATCAAAACTATAATTTTGTTTTCTAAAGGGATTATATTCATGCAAGAGTCATAGAATTTATGTTATAGATTTTTACAAAATTTCAAAAAATTATCAAAACATAAGGGGCCTGAATTAATTAGGTAAAACATTAGGAAAATTATTATTTTTATTATTATTTTACCACCATTCAGTTTATTAGAGACAAAATACTACTTTCACACATTCTTCTTAAGAAAAGTTAATACAAATTAAATAAAATTATTCGTAATTTAATATAAAAATAACCTACCGCCACTGACAATTTTGTTCATCGATGACTGTTCCACTGCTCCGCAATTTGCGCAAGAAAAAGTTAAATTTTGAAATTGATTTACTAATAAATAAAATAAAAAGTAATTACTTTTTTAAAATACTAAGTACATGTATTTGACTTCTCTATATGAATAAAGGGAAAATACTAAACTCTAGGGGTGCGTTTATTTTATTATTTTGGATATGATTTTGAGAATAATATTGGATAGTTGGATAGAGGAGTATTACGAGGTAAAATTTAAAAATTTATGAAAAAGCCCCTAGGTTTGCTAATTTAATTAAACACCCTAATATATAAAATGACAAAAACACACTCATCACTGCAGTGCCAGATTCTGACCACTACCGCCGGAATCTGGTCAAAAAATTTCGTTACGACTCAGATCGGTCGGATCTGTGTCGTAACGTGTCGCTATGGCTTTTTCCGGCCAGATCCACCACGGATCTACTCGGAAAAGGCCAGATCTACGGCTAAATATTTCCGTCGACGACCGAAAAATATCAAAAGAAGTCAGCGACGGCCAAAGATATGACTGTCTTTTTGGTCAACGACAGCCAAGATTTGGCCGTTGCTGACGGCCAGACGGTGAACTTTAAGCCATTTCTAGTCGATAGGTAGGTCGTTGTACAGATTCCGGCTACCACCGACGGTGGTTGCCGGAATCTGGCAAGTATAGGTCGTGGGGGTGTTTTTGTTAATTTTTAAACTTTTTTTTAGGGGGTATTTAATGAAATTAATAACCTTATGGGGTCTAAAAATAATTAAAAAAATAAGCTAATATTTTTGGAATAATGTGCCAAACATTATTTGGAGAATAGAATTGAGAATATGGGCAGAAATAATAAGCCAAACATGTCCTAGAATATCGATAAAATATTAATATATAAATAAATTTAATTTAAGAAAATAAAAATAAAAATTGGGATATCTTAACAAATGCACTTATAATTGGTTAACGAGGGTGTGTTTATGTTATTTTGATTGACGTGGTGTATAATCTCATTGCTCAGTTGTATATACATTCATCATATAAAAGACTTTCTTTTTAGAGTAATGCTACCTTTACACCACCCTTTACACTATTTTCATTGCACCATGACCATTTTACTAATAATAATTTTATTATGGTATTAAAAATTTAAAATAATTAAAAATTTGTGATATGCCATATCATGATATAATGAAAATTGTGTAAAAGATGATATAAAGCTAGCATTATTCCTTTTTTTAGAATGAAATTTGTTAACATGTACAGTATCATGTTATGTCATTGTTTCATGTTATTTATCACATCATTTCAAATTTATGTGTCCGACCTAGGTATAATATTAGGTTAATTTCATCCTTATATGACATTATTTACTTCGTTGGATTTATGAGAAAAAATTTCGGAAAAAAATGGTATTGATTGTGATGATGGAAAATGGAAGGCCGGAATTGAATTGTTTGAAGTGGGAGTAAACGACATTTTCCCACCCAAGGTTTGGCGAACCCCTGGTTTCACAAATTACAGATTTTCACCCTTAAATTAGCAGATAATTGTTCTAACACTTACAAGGGTAAAATGATCATTTCAAAGATAAAAATTTCAAAATAACCCTTCACTTCTCAAATTCACCTCATTGACGATTTCAGGTCCCAGCATAATCGACCCCTCCTGACACCACCATTACAATCCTCTCAACCCCTATATCAAAACTCTTAACCTCCCCATCTGATTGAACCCCCCAATCGTTGGTCGTCGCTTTTAGTGTCAATCAGAGTTTCATCCAAATTCTGGCAAGTCCCGACACTGAAAACCACCCCCAAAACCACCAATAGCATCACCGGCTTCCCCCCACCAAAACCCCTAACATCGTCGGCTGTAATTGCTTGTCGATAGTCACCGCCTCTCCCTTAGGTTTTCACATTTTGTCACCTCTTTCCAGCTAAATTCCGATACCTTATCGAGGTGCAATCGGGCAAAAAAATATGAGGTTCTGGTGAGGATGATAAGGGGATGTTAATGGTGGTATTGGAATTGGAATTGGGCCAGATTCTTGGCTTGGTTGGAATCTTTTAGGTGTTATTTGAGAAAAAATTGAGATGTAAAAGTTATTTTGAGAGAAAAGCAATAATGTTAATTTACGAGTGAGAATATGTAATTTATGACATTAGGGACGGGATCTTGAAGATTCGTCAAACCTTGAAGTGGAGATGATCACGGAGGTGTTACTGTGAGGGGGAAGGAGGGCTAGGATTCATTTGTTTGTTAATGTGTTATTGGGGAATACGCGTTTCACGTGCACCAATGATTAGAGTAGTAATTGCGTCTTTGGTTGTAAAGGAAAAGCGCGTGGATTTCCACAGCTATCAAATTATATTTAAATTTTTTTTTTTTTTTTTGGAGTCTTTTCTATCTTTTTCAAAATTAATTTTTAAATATGAAAAGTAAAATATGAATAATAACTTTAGATAAAATATCACTCAAAATCTCTAGGGTTTTATTGATTAATTATTATGTTGAAAAAATATTCAGAAAATATACCAAACAGTTTCAAGTATTCTGAATGAGAGTTTTATTTTGTGATTCAAAAAATAATTTTTAAGAATTTAATATTTATTGGGTAACAAAATAATTTTATTATTATTTGACCTATGGTGAATCATGATTAGGTAACTAATCTTCTGTCCCAGTTGTAATGATTATACAACTTTTTTCACAAACTCATAACTCTCTCAACATAATCTTATTCTTGATTTGGTATCTTAATTTGGAATATACAATAACGACAAAATTTATATTTTATAATATTAACAATTTCATTAATATTTGATAGATCAGTGATTGTTTTCCAATTCTTATCCTATTTTACTAACAGTCTACCTAAAATATATATTTATTTTAATATTCTCAAAATCTAATATATTCTTTTAATTATTTTTAAACTTTACAAATTTGTTAATTTAATTAAATTTCTCTTACAATAAAACAATAAAAATTAACAAAAACACTCTCATTTACTCATTAAATATTAATAATCGACTATCATCACTTGAGGATAATCTAAAGTCGCCTTAATGATGCACGACTTGCTGATTCTAACCAATAATATGTTGATTTAGCCAAAAAAGACTAGATCTATGATAAAAAATCTGATAATTGATGACTAAATGTTTGGTAAATGATATAAGTGTGACATTTTAAGTTATTGAATGCATATTAGAATACGTAACCGTACAATTAAACTATTGGATCATGGTTAAATCAATTTGAGTGCATGATATCCCCTCAAGGGTTGAATCATAATCCCATCTATACATAGGAGGATTGAGAGGTAACGTTATCAATAGATTCAATCAACTTTTGAATCATGATAAAAAGACCCACGTAAAGTGGAGTTGCCCTAGGAAAAAGTTTAAATTTTATATAAAAATATATTTTCTCCCCTAAATTTCATATTTCACCCTTCAGCCTCCCTTATTCGTCAAATTCTCCCTTCGATGCAATTTCCTAACTACATTTTTTAAAGTTAGTCCCCTTATTCATCAAATATTACACTTAACCCCCAAATGTAATTTTTTGGGTTCCTGCTAACGCCCGCAAAGAAGATAACACTATTCCGATACCATTGGTGAGGCTTGCAATTGGCAAAAACGTCAACACCACATAATTTCATGGTTAAATTCCTAAATATGAGCATCAAAGATATGTGGAAGTTAAATTTTGGAATATTAACACCTGCATATTGCTCAGGATTGTATTATGTACAAATTAACTTCATTTTTCAAAGCCTGTATTTCTATACACACAGTGCTACGAAATTGACAGGTTATAGATTACCTTTTTCACAATTTTGCTCAACTCACATGAAATTTCAGCAGAATTTCTTGGAGCATTGGAGCTTATAATACATCGGTATCGTCCTGTTGAATATATGTGATTTGTTTGACCGAGCATTTGATTTGAACCTGATACTACTGAGTGACATGTTAGGTATCCAAGCTTGCAGAAACTTCAACATTCAACAGACTTAATTGACTTACAGTTGATAAATCAGGTAAGCGTCAAGACAGCTTTTTAGAGTGTCTTACTGTCTTCTTGTTTCTGTTTTAGAGATTCCAGGCGGAAGTGGAAGAACGACAAGACTCTCAGCCTATAAATCAACAACGTTAGGCAACATCAGCCTCTAGTGATAATATTAATATTAACAAAAGAGGAAAAAGAAACCCAGTTTCCTCTGGTAGATTAAGCATATAAATTAATTGAACGGAAAAGCATGTGTCTGATAAAATACATACAAGCCGGTGAATATATATATATATATATAGCGAGAGAGAGAGAGAGAGAGAGAGAGAGAGAGAGAGAGAATGTTTGTTTGACGGGCGTCATCCATCATGTCGTATTAACCTTCAGAAAATTAAATAAATGATGTTAATCTGTTTAATAGACCATTCCTAGGAACACTCATAGTTCATCCCCAATGCAATGTACCTCAATAGGTTCCAAGAGGTCATGAAACCTAGATAAATTAAGTCGCTTTTGTCACCAACAATCATAACATCTCTTCAAGATAACTACTCACTTTAACATGGAAACCCATCAGAAATGGTAGTTGCAACAGAAATCATGAAAAGCTAGTTTAAAGTGAGGCGGATATCATAAATTTATGATACTCAAGGATGCCTTCTGCAAGTTTATCAAATGAAATAATGTGAAGTTAATGCTCTGAGAGAGATATATAGTATCGGTTATAGCTTACGACAAAGTATCTGCTGCATAAAATATTGGAAGCCTCCCCAGTCTGGAACCTTTCCATTGTCTTCTTTTTAAAGAAATAAATTCTTCTGCTCCGGAGCCCGTCGCAGTAAGAACAAACTGAGAGACACATCCATCAGTACCATAAATATAACCAAAATAGAAGCAAGTATCATCTTTAAGAAAAAAGAAGAAATTGGTAAATCAATGGAGAAGAATGTTTAAGTCAGTACCAATGGAAATAGTATGGCCATGACTCCGTAGCTCACAAGAGGTGAGAAAAAGAAAATAGCAAGAACACAAGGGCTTCCTGTGATGCCACTAAAGAGATTAGTACTATTGCATATGTCATCATAATCATGCATGTAAAATAATGCAAAAAAGCCACTCATAACACGTTAATAAGATCATTAGACATATAACACAATGAGACACCACACTCAGATCACTCTTTCCCACATTATGAGAGATTATTATTCACTTCTTCCGGTGATGTCAGCTTCTCTAAAAGCAATATTTGCTACCATAAAAGCCAAGGTAACTGTTATTACACTAGATAAGCATTAACATCTAAACATTGAAGCCTTGACTTCAATGTTAAATATAAATGACTATAAACCCTTTATCATGGTGAGAGGGAGCACATCAAGGACTACATGGTGGAACCTACTGCATACAACGTCACACTCGCACAGTTTAGCCACACTGCATGAAGTTTATTGGGTCAATCTCACTCTCTTAACAGTTAAGCCTCATTACTACTGAATCTCAAGTTATGCTATAGGAATTGGGGGAGCTGCAACATACAGTAACACAGGCCATGTGAATCTACAGAACTAACTAATTTGTTATGTGAAATTGATTAGGATATCAAAAGGGTTAAACCAAAATCACATGAAGCAAGTAAAATATATATTACCAAAACCAGCAAAGAATGCCCAGTTAGATTCAAAAAAGTCAAGCCTTTTGTCCAGACCCACTTCAGAAAAGTTCCACTTGTACCTAATAAGTGCAAAAGCTGAATCAGCTATGATCCAGTTAAGAGAAACTACAAAAACTAAACAGCAGGTCCACATTTACTACATACTCGAAACAGTAATAGGCATACATCCAAGCTAGAAGTAGGAAATTAACTGCCTTCCCAATGTAGGGTATAAATCCTGTTGCGTAAACCTGCATAAGATTCAAAAGACTACGAAGATTGTCATAAAAAGAGTAAGTTTTGCAAGTCAATAGCATACCATATCTGTTACAAGAAGTATGTGCTCTATAAACACAAGAATAGAATGAAATAAGACTACCACTGTATTATTAAGTAAAAAAAGGGAGAGGTAAAATTTATATAGTAAAAAATATCTCACCTCCAAAAAGAAGAAGCTCAAAAGAAGCACCGAGTAAACTTGTTCACCTAGTCCAATCATGACCCTGCAGAAAAAATGATCCAAAATATGAACTTTACGCACTGTATGGAAAACGTAGTTGCTTATTTGAAGATAAATGCCTGTAACCAGTAGTACCCTCCTAGGTCAATTGGTCTATCCTTCTGATCTGCATTTTGTGAAGTCTCATTTTTTCTTGATGGTTCTGGTACAGTCTGCCTTGATCTTCCCATTGCAGCAAACCCATACTTAGCAATGTCATTGTACCTAGATTATCACAATTTTTTATTTTTAAAAGATAATTAGAAATTATGACTAAAAGAATATGGAAGAAATCAATGATAAACATCAAATAAGACATTCATGACAGAATATGAAAACACAGAAGGTAGAAGTAAATAGTAGATCAAATACTCCAATATCCAGCTTCCTTCCTAATTATGATGTCACAACATACCTGCAAAGTTAAAACACTTCTGCTGACAGATTTTTTGATCTAATAAAATAAGGATATATTGATTATAACATACAGTTTCCTTCAAGATACAACACAAACAAGGTTTGCAAAATGGATAATGACAGAGATGTAGGTCACAAAATATGGTTTATAGACTGGTTGTATTGATTCAATTTTTTTTTAAGGGAATATTCATAAAAGTTCTAAATTTTGAATGAAAAGTTGAGTATTTTTAATCAATTTATTCATGCATATTTTAACCTCCATAAACAAACAACCATTTGTAAAGCATAAATGTTCAGCACAACAATTAAACTATTGGATCATGGTTCAATCAATTTGAGTGCATGATGTCCCCTCAAGGGTTGAATCATAATCCCATCTATACATAGGAGGATTGAGAGGTAACGTTATCAATAGATTCAATCAACTTTTGAATCATGATAAAAAGACCCACGTAAAGTGGAGTTGCCCTAAGAAAAAGTTTAAATTTTATATAAAAATATATTTTCTCCCCTAAATTTCATATTTCACCCTTCAGCCTCCCTTATTCTTCAAATTCTCCCTTCGATGCAATTTCCTAACTACATTTTTTAAAGTTAGTCCCCTTATTCATCAAATATTACACTTAACCCCCAAATGTAATTTTTTGGGTTCCTGCTAACGCCCGCAAAGAAGGTAACACTATTCCGATACCATTGGTGAGGCTTGCAATTGGCAAAAACATCAACACCACATAATTTCATGGTTAATTTCCTAAATATGAGCATCAAAGATATGTGGAAGTTAAATTTTGGGATATTAACACCTGCATATTGCTCAGGATTGTATTATGTACAAATTAACTTCATTTTTCAAAGCCTGTACTTCTATACACACAGTGCTAAGAAATTGACAGGTTATAGATTACCTTTTTCACAATTTTGCTCAACTCACATGAAATTTCAGCAGAATTTCTTGGAGCATTGGAGCTTATAATACATCGGTATCGTCCTGTTGAATATATGTGATTTGTTTGACCGAGCATTTGATTTGAACCTGATACTATTGAGTGACATGTTAGGTATCCAAGCTTGCAGAAACTTCAACATTCAACAGACTTAATTGACTTACAGTTGATAAATCAGGTAAGCGTCAAGACAGCTTTTTAGAGTGTCTTACTGTCTTCTTGTTTCTGTTTTAGAGATTCCAGGCGGAAGTGGAAGAACGACAAGACTCTCAGCCTATAAATCAACAACGTTAGGCAACATCAGCCTCTAGTGATAATATTAATATTAACAAAAGAGGAAAAAGAAACCCAGTTTCCTCTGGTAGATTAAGCATATAAATTAATTGAACGGAAAAGCATGTGTCTGATAAAATACATACAAGCCGGTGAATATATATATATATATATAGCGAGAGAGAGAGAGAGAGAGAGAGAGAGAGAGAGAGAGAATGTTTGTTTGACGGGCGTCATCCATCATGTCGTATTAACCTTCAGAAAATTAAATAAATGATGTTAATCTGTTTAATAGACCATTCCTAGGAACACTCATAGTTCATCCCCAATGCAATGTACCTCAATAGGTTCCAAGAGGTCATGAAACCTAGATAAATTAAGTCGCTTTTGTCACCAACAATCATAACATCTCTTCAAGATAACTACTCACTTTAACATGGAAACCCATCAGAAATGGTAGTTGCAACAGAAATCATGAAAAGCTAGTTTAAAGTGAGGCGGATATCATAAATTTATGATACTCAAGGATGCCTTCTGCAAGTTTATCAAATGAAATAATGTGAAGTTAATGCTCTGAGAGAGATATATAGTATCGGTTATAGCTTACGACAAAGTATCTGCTGCATAAAATATTGGAAGCCTCCCCAGTCTGGAACCTTTCCATTGTCTTCTTTTTAAAGAAATAAATTCTTCTGCTCCGGAGCCCGTCGCAGTAAGAACAAACTGAGAGACACATCCATCAGTACCATAAATATAACCAAAATAGAAGCAAGTATCATCTTTAAGAAAAAAGAAGAAATTGGTAAATCAATGGGGAAGAATGTTTAAGTCAGTACCAATGGAAATAGTATGGCCATGACTCCGTAGCTCACAAGAGGTGAGAAAAAGAAAATAGCAAGAACACAAGGGCTTCCTGTGATGCCACTAAAGAGATTAGTATTATTGCATATGTCATCATAATCATGCATGTAAAATAATGCAAAAAAGCCACTCATAACATGTTAATAAGATCATTAGGCATATAACACAATGAGACACCACACTCAGATCACTCTTTCCCACATTATGAGAGATTATTATTCACTTCTTCCGGTGATGTCCACTTCTCTAAAAGCAACATTTGCTACCATAAAAGCCAAGGTAACTGTTATTACACTAGATAAGCATTAACATCTAAACATTGAAGCCTTGACTTCAATGTTAAATATAAATGACTATAAACCCTTTATCATGGTGGGAGGGAGCACACTAAGGACTACATGGTGGAACCTACTGCATACAACGTCACACTCGCACAGTTTAGCCACAGTGCATGAAGTTTACTGGGTCAATCTCACTCTCTTAACAGTTAAGCCTCATTACTACTGAATCTCAAGTTATGCTATAGGAATTGGGGGAGCTGCAAGATACAGTAACACAGGCCATGTGAATCTACAGAACTAACTAATTTGTTATATGAAATTGATTAGGATATCAAAAGGGTTAAACCAAAATCACATGAAGCAAGTAAAATATATATTACCAAAACCAGCAAAGAATGCCCAGTTAGATTCAAAAAAGTCAAGCCTTTTGTCCAGACCCACTTCAGAAAAGTTCCACTTGTACCTAATAAGTGCAAAAGCTGAATCAGCTATGATCCAGTTAAGAGAAACTACAAAAACTAAACAGCAGGTCCACATTTACTACATACTCGAAACAGTAATAGGCATACATCCAAGCTAGAAGTAGGAAATTAACTGCCTTCCCAATGTAGGGTATAAATCCTGTTGCGTAAACCTGCATAAGATTCAAAAGACTACGAAGATTGTCATAAAAAGAGTAAGTTTTGCAAGTCAATAGCATACCATATCTGTTACAAGAAGTATGTGCTCTATAAACACATGAATAGAATGAAATAAGACTACCACTGTATTATTAAGTAAAAAAAGGGAGAGGTAAAATTTATATAGTAAAAAATATCTCACCTCCAAAAAGAAGAAGCTCAAAAGAAGCACCGAGTAAACTTGTTCACCTAGTCCAATCATGACCCTGCAGAAAAAATGATCCAAAATATGAACTTTACGCACTGTATGGAAAACGTAGTTGCTTATTTGAAGATAAATGCCTGTAACCAGTAGTACCCTCCTAGGTCAATTGGTCTATCCTTCTGATCTGCATTTTGTGAAGTCTCATTTTTTCTTGATGGTTCTGGTACAGTCTGCCTTGATCTTCCCATTGCAGCAAACCCATACTTAGCAATGTCATTGTACCTAGATTATCACAATTTTTTATTTTTAAAAGATAATTAGAAATTATGACTAAAAGAATATGGAAGAAATCAATGATAAACATCAAATAAGACATTCATGACAGAATATGAAAACACAGAAGGTAGAAGTAAATAGTAGATCAAATACTCCAATATCCAGCTTCCTTCCTAATTATGATGTCACAACATACATGCAAAGTTAAAATACTTCTGCTGACAGATTTTTTGATCTAATAAAATAAGGATATATTGATTATAACATACAGTTTCCTTCAAGATACAACACAAACAAGGTTTGCAAAATGGATAATGACAGAGATGTAGGTCACAAAATATGGTTTATAGACTGGTTGTATTGATTCAATTTTTTTTTAAGGGAATATTCATAAAAGTTCTAAATTTTGAATGAAAAGTTGAGTATTTTTAATCAATTTATTCATGCATATTTTAACCTCCATAAACAAACAACCATTTGTAAAGCATAAATGTTCAGCACTACCAAAAAAAAAAAAAAAAAAAAAAAAACACTAAAATTTGAAAGATTAAGCCATTAAAATCATAGAACTATTTGATGAATTAGAAGAGTTTTTAACCATTTGATCAAATAAACCCTGTAGCTTTTCTCATCAGTCACCCAAAATAGTTATTCAGTCTTAGTTATTTAATATATGTAAAGAGAATCCAATGAATTTAGCACGTATTTTCATACAAAGGTTTATATTTTAGACTTCCAAAACCAAGTGTATTTTGTGGCAAGTGAGATTTGATATACTTAATTAATTAAATGAAATTCTCGACCCTTTATAAAAGAAAAAGGAAATAAAGATATAAATGCTACTATATAATACAGGTATTATAAAAGAGCAATCGATTGCTAACTGTGGGCTTAAGTTGGTGGCTTTAGCCTAAGAGTAACCGGTTCACTGTTAGTCATAAGCTGACTATCCCAGAGCATGCCAGCATGCAATTCCTTCATTTACAAGTTCAGGGGTGAAGATTAATCATGTGTACTTCTCAAAATCTCGTGCTATTCCACAAATATTGTGATAAATGAATATTTTATCAATACACTTGAATATTGTACAATAAATTATCAGATCAAAGTGAGAGGGTGGCTTATATTTGGATCAATACTTTGTGTATTTGATGGGAACCCCCTGCCAAAAATGAATCAAATCCAACCAACCAACAAACACCCAAAAGACAGATAACAAGGAAAACACAATCTGATATTAATCAATACTGTATTAAGAAGAGAAATGAATGACAAACCAAAATCAACAGCAAAGTAAACACAAGAACAAGATAATTTCCCAGCAATTTGAGGAGTTAGGGACCTCCCTTGATAACCCTTGAAGAAAATACTTAACCCTTCCCCAAGACTAATCCTAACTTTATATACTAATGATTCTACTAAAATATCCCCCTCTAAACAAACCTGCCAAGTGGAGATTCCCATAACTAACTCCCACTAGCACAATCAATCAAACTAACTCCCACTAGCACAATCAATCAAACTAACTCCCACTAGCACAATCAATCTTTAGTGCTCATTCACACCCCTAACACTCTTCTGCCCGTTGTGCCCTTTATGCCCCTTCAATTGGTAGACTTCAGTAATAGGAGGTCTGTCAGTATCAAAGACGGTGTTTAAGTGAGAAGTCTTCAAATATCTAACGATAAGGTTTCAAATGGAATACTATTATTCTTCATCAATGTATGAATAGAACTAAAAACACAAGAAAATATACCAATCTACTCTCAAATCATTATTATAGTAAACTAGGTAAAACAATGAAGATAATATACAAATCTTAAACACAACAAACAAGGTCAAATCGAAGGAAAACATACCAGATATTGCTCAGAATAATGCTGAAAATGTACAGTGGGTAAAACCAAAATACCTGCATTAATGACACAATTAGTGACTTTCCCTGGTGCCAATTAAACAGAAAAGTGAGTATAACTAGTAGTGTGCTCTAGGAATGATAAATATGTACTTATATGATAATAAATATAGAACAAAGCAATAGACCAACAATGAAATTTTATAATTAAACCCAATGTCTAGAAGTTCAAAAATGCCAAGGGTTGAAATTTTTTCCTTTGCACATGAAACTCAACTAACTTAACTTCATGAAATATTTGAAACCATGCATGTTTATCCAAAATCCCACCATAAAATGAACTGAATACCATACAAGTGTCGTGGAGAAACTAAAACAAATGGTTTTAAAATTTTTGAAAGAGTGAGAATATGAAGCAATTGACAAGATAAATACAGTGTACTTACATAAAGGAGTTGTATGAGTCCAAAACGTAAGAATGAATAAAGCTTTAAAATACCACCAGCTGAGCAAAGTTCTTGAGAACTAAACTTTGAGCACTGATCAGGTAACATCCACAGCAATGTAGGGGTCATAACAGAGTATAGGACACATATACTGCATGGGTTACAATTGAGATGTGGTCAGATCCATCATATTGTTCAAGATATGATTCAAAAAGTGTTGTTCATCAACAAGTGAAAGCATTGGTACATGAATGATTGCGTAGAAATAAATATACAAGAAAGGAATTGCATGACTATAAATGGAAAAAATACTAAATTAAGGCAGAGTAAATTAAAATTTGTGTTAGTGACTAAAATTACAAAGAAAATGGGCTAAATGTTATGGGAATAAAGTTCAAACTCCGGTTCAACAAACTGAACATTCTTAAATTAGCCAGAACTGGATATGAAGTGAACATACAAATGTGACCAGTTGCAGAAAAGGGCTGAGGGAAAACTCAATCCACTGATAAGAGAGGAGGAAGTGCTATCCCTCTTGGGTTTAACAAAATCAATCCTCTCAATAAATGAAAGGATTGACCAAACCTATTTTTAAATTTATTCCTTTCCTTCATTTTCTTCTTTATCAAACAAACATACAGATAAAGAGACGTCTTCGCCTACTTTTATCTTTTCCCTCCCAAAACAATCCTCCCCCGTTTTCTTAATTAAATTAGATATCCAGATGCAACTATTAACTACAACATGAATTCCGAGTAAAAGTATCCAAATATTCAAAGTAATAACTAGATCAACACTCTAACCCACACTTGAGAAAAAATTAAAACTAAATACTAAATTGCACTAGCAGTATCATTACCCTTAATTATATCCAATTACAATGAACTCACAAAGCTTCTATTTTTAGTCATTTTAATGGTTAATTGAAAAGCAAAAATCCTATCACAAACAACTAAAGTTTCTAAAAAAACTCAATTGATGAAAACCCAATTAAACTCTCCAATAAACAAATTACCTTCCTAAAAAAATAAACCCATTCAAGAGAAAACACTGCCCTGTTCGAATCATCAGCTTTCTCGACCTAAAACAGCAAAACAAACAAATAAATAACCAATTAAAGAAGCGTGAAATAAAATCACGCTTCTTTATGCCAAACCTGTGGCAAAGAACGACGACTCTGTGGAGACAGCAAGCTTCTCGGAAACCGTCGAGCCATTGAAGCAAAGCTTGTTTTGATTTTGATTTCAGAAGATTTATTAATGTTGAATTTTCCATCGGAAATTTTTCAGCCAGACACATTGAAGAAAGCTTTTAGCTTACTTCAATTTTGAATCAATGTCTTGGGTTTTGATTGGGCCACGTGGATATTATTTTGTATTTTTTAAGGAAAAAGGCCTATTTTATTAGTTAATTAAACTTATTAATTAATTGGAGATTAAACTAGTTAAGAGTAAATTTGCTTAATTTTAATTACATAACGATTGTGTTCTTTTAGAAATTATTTTAAGAAAAATTAAAGAAGTTGTTCTTGATCAAGAATAAATATTATTGTAATTATTAAAGTGTACAAAAGGAAAAAAAAAATTATATTTTTTGTAATCTTAACTCTTTTAGTTTAAAAAAAAAACAATATTCACATCAAAATTTTATATTTAGAAATATAAAATACAACAATTTAAACTTTGAAATTATTTTATGGTATTTGATATCTTTCTAATAACAAATAATTTAAATACTGTATAACTAGAGTTTGGGATTATATATTAATTTTAGAAGATATTGTCAAGCATTAGCAAAATAAATGTATTAAAAATTATTTTGTATTAAAACAAGTGACCCTTAAATAATATGTAAAAACAATTTTGGTAAGTAATGGAATCAACTTTTTTTCTAATTTCGGATTTTATACTAATCTTAAAAATAAATTAACAACTATATATAAAAAAAATATTAATTGGTAAAATAGTTCATCTATGTATTAAAAAAATATATTATATATTTAAAGTCATATACAAACTCCTTAAATCTCTAGATTTTAAAGAAACTAATTTCTAAAAAATAATCTATGTCTCGATTTGTTTTAACAAAACTAGGGTTTTTTTATCCATGTATTGTGCCTTCTGGTAATGAGCAAATACAATTCTTTCCTGGGGGGGTCTTTTTTAGTGAGTATTTGCTTGTCTCAGAAATACGACTTTAACTCCTATTTTTTTACAAATGTTAGATTACTTTATTTAAGTTTAAAGAAATAATGGTCCGTTGGTTCACAATGTGTGTTTTGGGAAATTTTTGAAAAAAGTTAAAAAAAAAATTGAATTGGACGGGTAATACTGTAGGATTACAAATTAATAAAATACCCCTATGTTTTTTTTACAAATACCCCTATAATAACTTAAAAGTTAACAAAAATACCCAACCCACCCTCAAATACGGACAGCGGCCCCATCGCCGGAGGGTGGTCGGAGTCGCCGTACGGCGCATACCGGCTGGATCTTGCCGTCGTGGCCGATATGGCATTTTTTGGCTAGATCCATGTGGATCGGTCGCAAAGGCCAATCTACACTAGATCTGGCCATTACAGCCAAATTTGGTCAGATTTGCTCGTCAACACGGCCAACAAACGTTGTCGTTGACGTGAGGTCAACGACGACCGTTTGTTGGCCGTTGTTACCGACTGGTCCGCCAAAGATCTGGCCTTTTTCCGGACGATCACCGTGGATCTGGCCAAAAGGCTAGATCGGCCCACTACCGGCCAGATTAGCAGGTAGTGCCATCCTACCATTTCGTCATTTTGGCAGTGGTGGCCGGAATCTGGTAAATGTGGATTGTTGGGGTTTGTAATTTTTTAAAAATATTTAGGGTATTTAATTAAATTAACAAATTTATGGGGTTTAAAAAAGTTGAATAATATTGAATATATTGTGAGTTTGGGTATTTTACTGTTTAACTTTTTGGAATACTAAAGTAGTATTCCCAAAATGCAACCAATGAAGCCAATGTTTTGTTTTTATCAAAATTACACCACATTTAAAGAGGTCAATATATTTCTTAAGGTCAAATTTATGAATTTTTTTTATATAATTTAAAGTTGAACAGAATTTTTTGAAACTAGACTCACTATAAAAAAGATCAAACACGTATGAGTTAGAATGAAACTCGCGGGTGTTCATACAAAAAGACTACACAGACGGGTTAAACTATAAAATCCGTTTGTTAAATCACGTGGCAAATCGAGAGGCTCCGACAGTTGAGTTTAGTTCGGTTCGGTTATTTCAAGGTACAAAACTGTACCGCTGCAAAGCGTATTTTTATAAAACTCCTCTGAGAATCAGAAACTTTTAACAGGGAGCAAGATCGAGTTAAAAATGGCACAGCCCACCAAAGAGCCATGCAAGAAAGAGGCTTGCGATATTCAAGCTTGTCTCACCAAAAACAACTTCCTCCCTCAAAGGTACAACTTTTCACCATCATCCATCTGGGTTTTCATTGAAAATTTGATATAAAAAGAAAAAGAAAAAGAAAAAGAATCTTTTGTTATCAATGGATAGATTTTGATGCTGTTGAAATAGGATTTTGAATTTATGATGTTTTATGTTGTTATATATAGAGAAGCTGATTGACTTGACTGATACTTTGCCAAGTTTGTTAGGATAATGGCTTGTTTTACATGGAAAGACAAAAAAATTAGTATTTTGATGTATTGAAAAATGTATTTATTTTTTAATCTTTTTATACGTAATATTCATCAAAATAAGTAATTTTTCTTTTTCCTAGTGTCACAACCTATGATCATGAGTTCAATGTTATGATTTTTCAATAAAGAAATAGGAATGTTAATTTTGTTGGAGAGAATTGTAAAATTTGTGGCCTTTGTTGGTATGAAGTGATTGTACTTTCAGTACAGAAATATGGGTTCCTCCAAGTCAAATTTGGAGTTCTATTTCACTTTGTTAGTGAAGGACTATGTTGAGGGTGACATTGAAAGGATGAGTTTTTGGCACTGAGAGTCTTTGGAAAGACCGCAATTGACTGCATTTGATGTGTTGATACATCAATGCAGTTGGTTAGTTCTGTGCTTCTAAGACCTTCAGCGGCCAGAGTGTTTGTTAATGTGAGTCTGTGCCGTTAGGGTGCATGTCAACTAAAGGACCTATTGATGAGTAAGAAAGATGTTGTCTCTTGATTACTTGTCAAAGGTTTATGGCTTCAGGGGCTAAACATTTGTTCGTTTTCAGCCTTATTAGCCTCATGAACAATCTCGGTTTTGTCCTCTATATTCATACTCATTGATTCCTAATAGGCCAGCCATTAATAACAAGTATATCGTGGCTACTAGCTCCTCGAATTGCTAGCATCTGTTTTCTTTTATCCTATTGCTTCTATATTGCTGTACTGTTTTTCCTTTAAATTCAATGCAAGTATTTGGATTACTCTTATTAATCTATGATTGATGAACTGCTTGTTTGGGTGAACTTTTTGATTGGAATTGTTTCATTGAGTGAGGTCTGTAACAAATTGGTATCAGAGCCTCGTTGGGGTATGGTAAAAACAAAAATGGAGAACAAAATGGATGGTATAGAAAAGGAGATGGGTACGTTTAAAAAAGCTATGAGCTCGGTGATGGAAGATCTGGGAAATCTCAAGGAGGACATGGGAAGTCTGAAGGGATATCTTCTTGAGCTCAGGGAGTGGATGAGATTGAAGGATGAAAGGGAGATCAATCATAGTAGTGGAAAAAACAAGGGAACGATTTCGAGAAACTTAGGAGGGGAAAGTAATAGAGATCAGAATCGATTTGGGAAAGAAGAGGTCAATAGCGAAGAAAGGATAATCAAGAAATTGGAGTTATCGGTGTTTAATGGGGAGGACCCGTATGGGTAGACATTCAAAGTTGATCTCTATTTCGCCATCAACCGATATGAGGAGGAGGAAAAGGTGGAGGCAGTCGTCGTATGTATGGAGGGCCGAGCCTTAAACTGGTATCAGTGGATGGATTCACATTCATCGATATTGTCCTGGGCATCCTTCAAATCGGCAATCATCGATAGATTCCGTCCATCATTTAAGGGGTCAGCCTTTGAAGCTCTGGTGGTGTTGAGGCAAACAAGAACTGTAACGGAATTCTGTGAGCAATTTGAAGCTCACGCTGCACCATTGAAGGAGGTAGGAGATGAGTTACTCATGGGCATTTTCTCCAATGGGCTTAAAGAAGAGATTAAAGTTGACCTTACGTTGCAGAATAAGATGTATTAAAAATTATTTTGTATTAAAACAAGTGACCCTTAAATAATATGTAAAAACAATTTTGGTAAGTAATGGAATCAACTTTTTTTCTAATTTCGGATTTTATACTAATTCTTAAAAATAAATTAACAACTATATATAAAAAAAAATATTAATTGGTAAAATAGTTCATCTATTGTATTAAAAAAATATATATATATATTTAAAGTCCATATACAAACTCCTTAAATCTCTAGATTTTAAAAGAAACTAATTTCTAAAAAATAATCTTATGTCTCGATTTTGTTTTAACAAAACTAGGGTTTTTTTATCCATGTATTTGTCCTTCTGGTAATGAGCAAATACAATTCTAATTCCTGTGGGTGTCTTTTTTTAGTGAGTATTTGCTTGTCTCAGAAATACGACCTTTAACTCCTATTTTTTTTTACAAATGTTAGATTACTTTATTTAAGTTTAAAAGAAATAATGGTTCCGTTTGGTTTATAATTTTGTGTTTTTGGGAAATTTTTTTTGAAAAAAGTTAAAAAAAAAATTGAATTGGACGGGTATTACGATGTAGGATTTACAAATTAATAAAATACCCTCTATGTTTTTTTTACAAAATACCCCCTATAATAAAGCATTAAAAGTTAACAAAAATACCCCTAACCCACCCTCAAATACGGACAGTCGGCCACCATCGCCGGAGGGTGGTCGGAGTCGCCGTATCGGCGCATAACCGGCTGGATCTTGCCGGTCGTGCGCCGATATGGCATTTTTTGGCTAGATCCATGGTGGATCTGGTCAGCAAAGGCCAAATCTACAACTAGATCTGGCCATTAACAGCCAAATTTGGTCAGATTTGCTCGTCAACAACGGCCAACAAACGTTTGTCGTTGACGTTGATGGTCAACGACGACCGTTTGTTGGCCGTTGTTACCGACTGGTTACGGCCAAAGATCTGGCCTTTTCCGGCTAGATCCACCGTGGATCTGGCCAGAAAAGGCTAGATCGGCCCACTACCGGCCAGATTTAGCAGGTAGTGCACCATCCTACCAGATTTCGGTCATTTTCTGGCAGTGGTGGCCGGAATCTGGTAAATGTGGATTGTTGGGGTGTTTTTGTAATTTTTTAAAAAATATTTAGAGGTATTTAATTAAATTAACAAATTTATGGGGTTTAAAAAAGTTGAATAATATTGAATAATATTGTGAGTTTTTGGGTATTTTACTGTTTAACTTTTTTGGGAATACTTAAAGTAGTATTCCCAAAATGCAACCAAATGAAGCCAATGTTTTTTAGTTTTTATCAAAATTATCACCAATCTTAAAGAGGTCAATATATTTTCTTAAGGTCAAATTTATGAATTTTTTTTTTATAAATTTAAATGTTGAAAAGGACATTTTTGAAACTAGACTCACTATAAAAAAGATCAAACACGTATGAGTTAGAATGAAACTCGCGGGTGTTCATACAAGAAGACTAAACAGACGGGTTAAACTATAAAATCCGTTTGTTAAATCACGTGGCAAATCGAGAGGCTCCGACAGTTGAGTTTAGTTCGGTTCGGTTCTTTCAAGGTACAAAACTGTACCGCTGCTAAGCGTATTATAAAATTCCTCTGAGAATCAGAAACTTTTAACAGGGAGCAAGATCGAGTTAAAAATGGCACAGCCCACCAAAGAGCCATGCAAGAAAGAGGCTTGCGATATTCAAGCTTGTCTCACCAAAAACAACTTTCTCCCTCAAAGGTACAACTTTTCACCATCATCCATCTGGGTTTTCATTGAAAATTTGATATAAAAAGAAAAAGAAAAAGAAAAAGAATCTTTTGTTATCAATGGATAGATTTTGATGCTGTTGAAATAGGATTTTGAATTTATGATGTTTTATGTTGTTATATATAGAGAAGCTGATTGACTTGACTGATACTTTGCCAAGTTTGTTAGGATAATGGCTTGTTTTACATGGAAAGACAAAAAAATTAGTATTTTGATGTATTGAAAAGGAGTCTTTTGATCTTTTTCAAAATTAATTTTCAAATATGAAAAATAAATAAAAATAAATTAAAATATGAATAAAACTTTAGATAAAATATCACTCAAAATCTCTAGGGTTTTATTGATTAATATTATGTTAAAAAAAATATTCAGAAAATATACCAAACAGTTTCAAGCACTTGAAAGAGATGTTTTGTGATTCAAAAATAATTTTTAAAAATTTATATTTATTGGGTAACAAAAAATTTTATTTTATTTGACCTATGGTGAATCCATGATTAGGTAACTAATATCTCTGTCCCATTTGTAATGATTATACAACTTTTTCACAAACTCATAACTCTTCATCATAATCTTATTCTTGATTTGATATCTTAATTTGGAATATACAATAACGACAAAGTTTTATTTTATATATTAACAAATTCATTAGTATTGATAGAAGGGACTATCAGTCTACCTAAAATATATATTATTTAATATTCTCAAATCAATAAATATTTTTGAACTTTAGTTCTATTTAAACTTTATAAGTTCCTTAATTTAATTAAACTTTTTTTACATAAAACAATAAAAATTAACAAAAACACCCTAAATATTGACAATCGACCATCATCACTTGAGGTTAATCAAAAGTCGCCTTAATGATGCACGACTTGCTGATCTAACCAATAATGTGCGATTTAGCAAAAAAAGACTAGATTTAGATAAAAAATCTGATAATTAACGACCAGATGTTTAGCCTATTTGGTAAATGATATAAGTGTGACATTTTAAGTTATTGAATGCATATTAGAATGCGTAAATGATATAAGTGTGACATTTTAAGTATTGAATCATATTAGAATGCGCAACGTACAATTAAACATTGGATGGTTCAATCAATTTGAGTGCATGATGTCCCCTCAAGGGTTGAATCATAATCCCATCTATACATATGAGGATTGAGAGGTAACGTTATCAATAGATTCAATCAACTTTTGAATCATGATAAAAAGACCCACGTAAAGTGGAGTTGCCCTAAGAAAAAGTTTAAATTTTATATAAAAATATATTTTCTCCCCTAAATTTCATATTTCACCCTTCAGCCTCCCTTATTCTTCAAATTCTCCTTCGATGCAATTTCTAAATACATTTATTTAGTCCCCTTATTCATCGAATATTACACTTAACCCCCAAATGTAATTTTTTGGGTTCCTGTAACGCCCGCAAAGAAGGTAACATATTTCGATACCATTGGTGAGGTTGCAATTGGCAAAAACATCAACACCACATAATTTCATGGTTAATTTCCTAAATATGAGCATCAAAGATATGTGGAAGTTAAATTTTGGGATATTAACACCTGCATATTGCTAGAGATTGTATGATTACAAATTAACTTCATTTTTCAAAGCCTGTATTCTATAACACAGTGCTAAGAAATTGACGGTTATAGATTACCTTTTTCACAATTTGCTCAACTCACATGAAATTTCAGCAGAATTTCTTGGAGCATTGGAGCTTATAATACATCGGTATGTCTGTTGAATATATGTGATTTGTTTGACCGAGCATTTGATTTGAACCTGATACTATTGAGTGACATGTTAGGTATCCAAGCTTGCAGAAACTTCAACATTCAACAGACTTAATTGACTTACAGTTGATAAATCAGGTAAGCGTCAAGACAGCTTTTAGAGTGTCTTACTGTCTTCTTGTTTCTGTTTTAGAGATTCCAGGCGGAAGTGGAAGAACGACAAGACTCTCAGCCTATAAATCAACAACGTTAGGCAACATCAGCCTCTAGTGATAATATTAATATTACACAAAGAGGAAAAGAAACCCAGTTTCCTCTGGTAGATTAAGCATATAAATATTGAACGGAAAAGCATGTGGTCTGATTAAATACATACAAGCAGGTGAATATATATAATATATATATATATATATTATATACGAGAGGAGGAGAGAGAGGAGAGAGAGAGAGAGAGGAGAGAGAGAATGTTTGTTTGACGGGCGTCATCCATCATGTCGTATAACTTCAGAAAATTAAAAAATGATGTTAATCTGTTTAATAGACCATCCTAGGAACACTCATAGTTCATCCCAATGCAATGTACCTCAATAGGTTCCAAGAGGTCATGAACACTAGATAAATTAAGTCGCTTTTGTCAACAACAATCATAACATCTCTTCAAGATAACTACTCACTTAACATGGAAACCCATCAGAAATGGTAGTTGCAACAGAAATCATGAAAAGCTAGTTTAAAGTGGAGGGATATCATAAATTTATGATACTCAGGATGCCTTCTGCAAGTTATCAAATGAAATAATGTGAAGTTAATGCTCTGAGAGAGATATATAGTATCGGTTATAGCTTACGACAAAGTACTGCTGCATAAAATATTGGAAGCCTCCCCAGTCTGGAACCTTTCCATTGTCTCTTTTTAAAGAAATAAATTTTCTGCTCCGGAGCCTGTCGCAGTAAGAACAAACTGAGAGACACATCCATCAGTACCATAATATAACCAAATAAGAAGCAAGTATCATCTTTAAGAAAAAAGAAGAAATTGGTAAATCAATGGAGAAGAATGTTTAAGTCAGTACCAATGGAAATAGTATGGCCATGACTCCGTAGCTCACAAGAGGTGAGAAAAAGAAAATAGCAAGAACACAAGGGCTTCCTGTGATGCCACTAAAGAGATTAGTACTATTGCATATGTCATCATAATCATGCATGTGAAATAATGCAAAAAGCCACTCATACACGTTAATAAGATCATTAGACATATAACACAATGAGACACCACACTCGACACTCTTTCCCACATTATGAGAGATTATTATTCACTTCTTCCGGTGATGTCCACTTCTCTAAAAGCAACATATTGCTACCATAAAGCCAAGGTAAATGTTATTACACTAGATAAGCATTAACATCTAAACATTGAAGCCTTGACTTAAATGTTAAATATAAATGACTATAAACCCTTTATCATGGTGAGAGGGAGCACATCAAGGACTACAGGTGGAACCTACTGCATACAACGTCACACTCGCACAGTTTAGCCACACTGCATGAAGTTATTGGGTCAATCTCACTCTCTTAACAGTAAGCCTCATTACTACTGAATCTCAAGTTATGCTATAGGAATGGGGGAGCTGCAACATACAGTAACACAGGCATGTGAATTACAGAACTAACAATTTGTTTATGAAATTGATTAGGATATCAAAAGGGTTAAACCAAAATCACATGAAGCAAGTAAAAATATATATACCAAAACCAGCAAAGAATGCCCAGTTAGATTCAAAAAAGCAAGCCTTTTGTCCAGACCCACTTCAGAAAAGTTCCACTTGTACCTAATAAGTGCAAAAGCTGAATCAGCTATGATCCAGTTAGAGAAACTACAAAAACTAAACAGCAGGTCCACATTTACTACATACTCGAAACGTAATAGCATACATCCAAGCTAGAAGTAGGAAATTAACTGCCTTCCCCTGTAGGGTATAAATCCTGTTGCGTAAACCTGCATAGATTCAAAAGACTACGAAGATTGTCATAAAAAGAGTAAGTTTTGCAAGTCAATAGCATACCATATCTGTTACAAGAAGTATGTGCTCTATAAAACACAAGAATAGAATGAAATAAGACTACCACTGTATTATTACGTAAAAAAAGGGAAAGGTAAAATTATTATAGTAAAAAATATCTCACCTCCAAAAAGAAGAAGCTCAAAAGAAGCACTGAGTAAACTTGTTCACCTATTCCAATCATGACCCTGCAGAAAAATGATCCAAAATATGAACTTTACGCACTGTATGGAAAAACGTAGTTGCTTATTTGAAGAAAATGCCTGTAACCAGTAGTACCCCTAGGTCAATTGGTCATCCTTCTGATCTGCATTTTGTGAAGTCTCATTTTTTCTTGATGGTTCTGGTACAGTCTGCCTTGATCTTCCCATTGCAGCAAACCCATACTAGCAATGTCATTGTACTAGATTACACAATTTTTATTTTTAAAAGATAATTAGAAATTATGACTAAAAGAATATGGAAGAAATCAATGATAAACATCAAATAAGACATTCATGGACAGATATGAAAACACAGAAGGTAGAAAAATAGTAGATCAAATACTCCAATATCCAGCTTCCTTCCTAATTATGATGTCACAACATACATGCAAAGTTAAATACTTCTGCTGACAGATTTTTTGATCTAATAAAATAGGATATATTGATTATAATATACAGTTTCCTTCAAGATACAACACAAAACAGGTTTGCAAAAGGATATGACAGAGATGTAGGTCAAAAATATGGTTTATAGACTGGTTGTATTGATTCAATTTTTTTTAAGGGAATATTCATAAAAAGTTCTAAATTTTGAATGAAAAGTGAGTATTTTTAATCAATTTTATCAGCATTTTTAACCTCCATAAAACAACAGCCATTTGTAAAGCATAAATGTTCAGCACTACCAAAAAAAAAAAAAAAAAAACAATAAAATTTGAAAGATTAAGCCATTAAAATCATAGAACTATTTGATGAATTAGAAGAGTTTTTAACCATTTGATCAAATAAACCCTGTAGCTTTTCTCATCAGTCACCCAAAATAGTTATTCAGTCTTAGTTATTCAATATATGTAAAGAGAATCCAATGAATTTAGCACGTATTTTCATACAAAGGTTTATATTTTAGACTTCCAAAACCAAGTGTATTTTGTGGCAAGTGAGATTTGATATACTAATTAATTAAATGATT